TGCAATGTGTTTATGTGGTATCGAAGCCAGTCGGCGCTGGTTTACAATCACATCTGCTGTGGTCATAAGAGCATGCTTATCATACTGCGTGGCTGACAGTATGTTGCTCACAGCTGCCTCTTCCTGAATTTCACATTTGCCATAGAAATCAGTTTATTTAACTTGAGGAATAGATGCAGTCATTTTTTTAGAGAAAGGCCAAAGTAATGTTGTTGTTGGGAAAGAGGAGCGACAGTTTGAATAACAGCATTTCTCTGTGTGCTCCTTTGCTTGTCCATCAGATGGTCACGGCAGGGTAAAATAATCCTAATCTCAACATAGATGACATCATGACACTGGGCAGCGATGACATCATGCATATATTGTCATCTTTTTTGAAAGACATCACTTTATAGGTTTAGCTTCTTGGCCCGGTTGGATAACCAGGATACCTTCCATGCTTGCTCCAAACCATGATGGCAGCTGACATGCCCAAAAGGGAGTTCCTTGAATACTTTTAATGGCTACGTTTGGTGACTGGAATAGCTCTGCTGTTACTGAATCATCTATACTTGCATTGGAATGTGGATGCCTTAATCTCCTTTTATTTGAGATTGAATACATTTTCGGTTCTTCATTCTTGCCAACACGTGCGATGGATTAAACAGATCCGGAGTCAGATTCCCTCACCCCCAACACGACAGGACACAATAAAGGCTGTACAAGGCGCCATTATGTGTTTGATTTTGTCACCGTACTATAAGATGAAATGTGAAGACATCCATCATATCATGCAGTATTCTAGGACCACATTGCAACCCTATTTGATTTTTAGTAAATACTGTATCCGTATCAAAACAACAACGGACCCTATAGCCCTATTGTGACGTGTCCTTGGAGGGTAATGTACAATATGCCCTCTGCTGTGTAAGCTAAGCGACATGTTTGTCCATGAGAATATAGGTCGTGTGTGAAGCAGAGCCACATGGAGTCCTGGTGGTGGAGCGATCCGCCCATCTGTTACTAGCAGAAGTCTCTAGTCTGGGCCAATTCCACCATCCGCCACTTTACAGTAGACTGAGCTCACAAGTGTACGGGAACAAATGTGCATGTTTGCACTTGAGTCTGTGGCCAAGCGATTGAAAGGGGACGCTGGTGTTTTCTGACATGGCTCACTCGACGCAGAACACAAAGGTCATCGTTCTGTCATGCGTTTTTAGCGCTGGAGCGGTGCAGGAGGCAGATCTGGGAGCTACTCGGCCGTCTGCTTTATTGGTATACTTCACGGAAGGCCACAAGCTGCTTGCTGTCCAGATTGGATAGATGAGCCCAAAAAGGGGACTCAGGATGCTCAATTTAGCTGCTGACCAAAATTCTGTTTTATGATCTGAAAAAAAAAAATCCTGGATGAAAATATACAAGTACCCATGTAAAAACTGAGCTATGTTGAAATCGTTTGGAGTAAAGGGAAATTTGTTATTATTTGTTTGTATCTGACTTCAAAACTTAGTTTCACATGTGACATTTGACCTAGTTCAAGCACAACGGATCAAGCGGAATATCAAAAATGTAGTTATTTTTTCTTTAATTATCTTTTTTAAATGAATGTACTCTAAATTTTATAAAACCACTTGTATTTCTTTACTTTGCAATCATTTTTTAAAGCTGCTTTGGTTTTGTCTGCTTTGCTTCTGAATGTCTTTGACCGTTGTGTTTGTCAATACTTGGAGCTGTTGTGCTTTTGCTTGTGTGAAGCACATTGAGTTGCCTTGTGAATGAAACGTGCTATAAAAATAAAACTGCCTTGCCCTGCCTAGGTGCACAAATCATCAGAATAGTATAGATTTGGTAGCCCATATTTCTTGCTGCGATTTCCCTTTGGAAAGTGGTAAAAATAGATAAAGGCTCCAGTGGTACAATCAAGCTAAACAATCATCATCATTCATTTGAATCAATGACTAGTTATTGTGGAATTTGCAAATTCTGTGTCTTTGGGGCTCGCTGTTGTGTGGGCCATTATGTCCAGGCAGTGCAGAGACAGTACTTCAGTGTTCTCAGCCCCACAAGTGGGTTGGAGCGTTACCATACAATATTCTGTCTGTTCAAGCTGGATTTGCAGGCCTTCCGCTCTCTTTTTGGGTCATCTTCCACTTCCTTGTTGTGTATTTATGACAACTCAAACAGCCTACCTCTTTCTCAACCAAAGATGGCACTTGTCCAACTTTTTGTAATTGATGGATAGTTATTTTAGGCTTCAATAGTACTCTGTCTTGGTCTGAAGTGATTAACAGCACAACAAAAGCAGTTGTTTTTTTTAATACAGTAGGAGCTAACAAAAGAGGAAACGCTTGTTTATTTTGTTTTAGTTGGCGTCATGACACCTTTTTACACCGTGTGATATGAGAGGCGAGAAAGACAGGAACCGTCACTTGAGGCCTTCCTGTGTGGGTGGCACAAAACAAAGATGGCATGAGTGGTTAACACCCTCATCCGCACGGTATCCCGCCTAGTCCGCACTCTGCCGAGGATTTTGTGACTCCTTTTATAACGCTATAAATCAGACAGTGTTGGGAATAGGTTATAAAAGCATCACATTATTGGCACAGCTCAGTGACACATCTGGTAGCCCAATTTCATGATGCACATGAATGTCAATGAATCACTTATAAATAAAGAAAGTAATACAGAGGTGGTATGTGCTGTGTTTGTGAGACTCAACCTTACCCACTGATCACACACACTGGTTGAATAAAGCTGAATGAAATCAGTTATATAATGCTGATGGTGTACTCTATATTGCTGTTATCGATGCAGATCCTTTGATATCTCATCGGTGTCACTCCTCCTCTGTCACGCTGGTCTCATGCTACCTTTTGTGTCACCGGAATCCACGGTGGTGAAGGTGCCTCCTTAAACTGCAATGTGTGATAATAACATCCAGCATGAGTCATCAGTCTGAGCTTGCGTAAGAGCCTGCAGCTTGTGGCGCCACACCCCACATTCATTCACACACAACTTTGCTGCTGCCGGGCCTCCCATTGATGGCGGGGAGAGCACCACTCGACCTCTTCCACACCGCACACACCGGCTTCGCGACTTCACAGATGCACTTTGTGACGAGAGGAAGCGCAGCCAATCGATGTCGCCTTGTTTATTCACCAGCCCGTCCACAGTGCAGCTGTGCGACGCAGGACCGTGGCCAGCGGGACTGAATGGTGTTGACAGGACCCTCAGGGGAGCTGGGGGGATGGACTGAGAGGGCCAAACAAGTCAGAACACTGACATCATGAAATACACTCATCTACTCACTCACTGCTACTGCCCCCCCCCCCACAATGAATTGAAGAACATCACAGATTTTCGAGCCTTCTCCAAAGGACCACAAATAAAACGTGTCAGCATTGATTAACCCATATGTTATCAATGCACTAAATGTGAGTGAGATGCAATCCATGTGGGGAGTGGAATTGTTATGTCTATTTTGGGGGGGCTGAAGCCCTCTGATCAAAGACCCTGATAAAAATGCCGACAAATACACTGGAGGTGTCAGCTCCCCCACCACACTACAACACCACAGCGGTCATAAGAGGACTGTGGAAGAAAATGTGGGTGTGTTGCGCATGGCTGAGGCTGGGCGCTGTCAGTATCGTGGCATGGTTGTGTGTACTCATTTTGAAAACTTAACTAACAGCACTGTTATGTTTATTTATTTATTTGTTTATTTTTCTAATTTATTTATTTTTGCAGTCCAGCGTCACAGTTACTCGTGTTAGAACTTGTGCTGTTATTTTGGTAAGTACCAGGAAAACCATTGGAAAATGTCTCGATCACCTCTTAAATTGAACTCTTATGAGCTGATTTTATTGTCGTTGATCAATTGGGTCAAACAAATGTACCTTTTATTGTATTGTACTAGGTGTTTAAATTGAACGGGAAACTGAAGAAACAAGGGTGGTCTCAATTTTTCTCCGTGTAAGTGGCTGTGGTTTGTCACTTGAAGCTTTCCAATCTTATTTTTTAGTTGGGGCTACAGGTGGAAATTAGCTACAAAACTACTATCTTGTTCAACATTTATCCTTTGCTGTACATGGTCCCTGACGTGAACAAACAAAGAAACAAAACGACTTATTTATTGAAACCTGAAGCAAGTCCATTTCCATTCGTAAATATTAAAGACAGTGAAGGATTACATGATCAGTTAATGCGCGATCATCGACCAATACTTTGGTTTTTTTTTTTATGGCAGCACAAATTGTTGGCTTGTCACCGAGCTTCTCAGTGAGCAAAACACAGCGCCAAAGCTTGTCTTGACACCGGCAGACTGCTGACATCAAGTGGTGGGCGCGCTGTAACTGCATTTGCAGTAACTGCGTGACTCATCCAGCTCTGGCGTGTAAAATGCCATCAACATTCACGTCGTCCTTATGTTTGCCCAGGATTTTTTTCTTCCTGCTTGTCCTCCTCACGGTCACAAGCAGGCTCGAACTTTTAACTTGTACCGTGTATGGAACAATGGAAGAAAACAGAGGTCGATTTCGCTTCTGGTAAATCTGACGCCTAGAAAAGAAGCACAAGAGCTCCATTTCAAACCTCATCCTTCTTCAGAATCAATCAGTTTTAAAAGGTATTTGGCCCAAGATGTTCAAGGGTTGGTCGCCAGGGCTCAACCGGTTGTCATCCAATCCTCCGCGGGGACAGCACGCTGAGGTCTGCAACACGTTTCTAGTTCTTTATAAGGACAAAGGCACGGGATTGTCAATACCAAGACAGTCACTCCAGATCCCCTAACATGGGCACCAACATGATTAGACATAAATAGCTCCTGTCCCAAAAGACAAGAGAATCGCGCAGCGACCATGTGAATCGCATGCGTGCCACAGGCAAGCGGCAGACTCTAGCAGAAGAAACAAGTGGCTACGGATGTGAGATCCACGTTTAGAATTAGTCGTGAGGATATAGAGCATGTGGAAAGAAAATATTCGAGTGATTTTTATGTGGAAGTAAAATAGGATGAATCAAAGTGCTCTGACAAATGCCTCTTATTTATTTCTTGACCGCATATTCCAAGCACATTGTCAAACGCGTGCTTTTCAAGGCTATGAGAAGGGAAACAACAAGTCCTGAGGGTGTCTCAATCGTACAAAAATGTTTGCCATGTGCATCACGAAATATGCTCTTAAAGTCACTGTATAGACTCAGAGAAGCATTCTGCTTTGTGCACACAGCAATACAACATCAAGCGCTAGGTGAAAATACCTGTAAACGGAACTTACGACATTAAAAAAAAAAGAAAAAAAGATTTCAAATGGAATATGTAATTTACACAAATTCAGGATACGTTGGCACAAAATCTAGTTACAAATTGTATTTACAACGATGCAAGTGGAGGTGGTCGGAAAAAGAGAAAAGCAAGAGTCAGATGCAGAAAATCTTGCAGTCGTTCCAAAGCTGCATCCCAAGTCAGCTTCCAGTTTTCCAGATGTGACAGAGGAATACAAAAATAATCTTCTGCTGTGATGAATTACTCCACTCCTTTCATGAACTCCAAGAACTCTGCAAAATGAGCGAACAGTGACAAACACACGCCAAATAAGAAGAACTCATCTCTTGGTTGTTCCACAGTGTGCAAATGATACAAAAAGGTGATCCGTGCAATAGATTAGTCCCAAGAAGATTCACAACATATTCAAAACACAGAGTGGACTTGGGACTGCCGAAACTTTCCTTTTTTCATGATCACACGTGAGCTTCACACGAGTGACAAAAGAAAGCACTGCAGACTATTAGTGACTTCCGACGACTCACCGTCGTAGTCAATTTTGCCGTCGTTGTTCTTGTCCCCGTCTTTCATCAGTTCCTCGATGTCGTCCTCAGTAATCGCTTCTCCTGTTGATTCCAGCATCATTTTCAACTCGTCCAAGTCGATGTAGCCATCTGCGTTTCTGCGCAATCACACGTGAAAAAAAAAACAAACACATGAATGCATGTATGGCGTGGTACTGCGTGAGCCAGTGTGTCTGTGTGACCGCTAATTGATCGCATCTTGCATCGAATTGTTTGTGATGCTTCAGTTTGGAAGAAGATCTGTCTGGCTCACACCATGAGGCCACTTGAATGTAGTTGGCTGCCAAGAAGCATTAAGGAGTAACTGCTGGGCTTAGTGGTGCTTTTGTCAGTGCACGTAGCATAGCAACTTGATTACCACTCTGGTCGTGTTCGTTACATCTCATTTAAATAAAAGCTTTGTTGCAGTCAACTTTAGAAATGGAGAAACGCACTTGTCAAACATGCGAAACAATTCTGCCAGTTCCTCCTCGGACTTCCCTTTGCTGTCGTCCTTCATACATCTCACCATCATGACTAGGAACTCGTCAAAGTCCACCGTGCCGCTCCCTGCGCAGAGACACACTTGACTAAATAGTTGCCTCTTGGACTTCATCACCTTTCATTGTTGGGATTAGCAAAAATGCTGCAGCCGAGTTACAATCAAACATTGGTTCTATGATTTCAGTATTTTGCTTTTGGGGCAAATCTGGCACTGCCCCACCAGATCGAGGTAGTGCAGTGGAAAATAAGTCTCGATAAACTTGTGATGTTGATGTATTTGAATGCCTTGCAATGGGCTGGTGACCAGTTCAGGGCGGTTGCCGCCTCTCTCTCACAGTCACCTGACATTACATTTAGAAAATGACTGGATGGACAAATGATTGTGTAGCCCACAGATTCTTTGCAAATCCACTATTGGGCTATATGTCTTACTCACTAAAATTTAAAATCACTTGATGATAACACACACAGGCTGCACGAGGCATGTCAATCTATGGCCGGCATCTGGCGGGATCCACGTACCTCCAAAAGCATCACTTTCCAGGAGATCCCCAAAATAGCATGCTTGCTCAACCATTCCCGTTGCATCATCAAAGAGTTTTCAACACTTTAGATTGGTCAATCCTCAGTAAAAAATAAGAGCCTCAGGGGTGGACTGAAAAAAATATGACATTTACCAAATTGTGACACAAAAGGTTTTGGCTGGATGCCAGCAATGTGCGATTTATTTCGGGACTGGATTTTCAAAATTGGAAGCCCATCAGATAATAACAGAGAGTACTGTTGTTTCATGTTGTGACACATCGCACCTATGCAGGCTCCTCAGCAGTTATATAAAATTTCTCGGTGCCAAGAATTTGCTGAAGTACCCAAGAAGTAGGCGCGCCACCATTTTCTTTTCCTATCAAAACAGCCACTGTCTGATTTACCGTCTTCATCCACCTCATCAATCATCTCCTGCAGCTCCTCCGGCGTGGGGTTCTGGCCCAGCATCCTCATCACCTTCCCCAGCTCCTTGGTGCTAATGCAGCCATCTTCTGCATCTTGGACAAAAATGTCAAATGCGGCCTTGAACTCTGTAAGAACAGCCCGACGCATTAGCGACAAGTGACAGAAATGAAAACATCGCATTTCATTCATAAATACAGAAAAGGTTTTGCTTGAGTTGTTATGAAATGAAATATAAGGTTTATGCTCAAGTCACTTGCCATTTTTCTGTTCGTCTGTCAGCTGCTCAACCTGCAAACAGTACACAAGAGTGTGTATTTTGGCAACAGACTCTGATTTGTTTTCAGTTGTGTGCCGCTTTTGAACACACCACCAACTCATAAAATTATCTTCCCGCAGCAATGTTTTGAATCGGCCCTTGCGAATTCTACTTTTTCATCACTGTTCTCCCAAACAAAGGTAATATTTTTAGTTGGAAACCCCGGGCCATCCCTGACGAAACACAGACTCTATATGTCAAGTGTGAGCCAGTAAGAGGCGAGGGTAAAAATAGGCAGGAGGATCAGGAACTGCTGATAAAGGACAGAATACACCGTGTTTTAAATTAGCATAGCTTGTGGCTCTGGCGCAACAATAGAACGATAATCCAGGAAAAGCTACCACGAATGAAAGAAGGAGACAGCTGCTTATGTAAGAGTTTACGCTGTCCACCATAAATTAAATGCACCCCTCCCGCAAGGGATGATAGACGTGAAAGAATCAATCCACAGTACACACTCATTTGTAAGAAATATTCCCATATGCGTTTCCTGTTTGAGCTGCACTGCTTCTCTGGCATGGAGGCAGACAGCCGTTGGTCCACGCAGAGGCGGACGGACTCCCTTGGAGCTCGCAGGCTCACAGATAAAGCTGGAATTCAGCCCTGAGCTGGTGAGGGTGGGGCTTGATGGGATCGGGCTCTCTAAACCTCAAGCCCCTCTCCGGCACCAGAACACCACAAGCAACCAGCCCAAATTAGCACATGCGAAATTGGACTGATCCATTTGGAGTCATGAATGAAGTTGGCAGAAAGCTCCTGAGGGGTTCCTCTCTCAGGACTGACTGGGGTCAAATGGGCCAACATGGAGAGGTCGGATCAAGGCTCCTTTGACAGCAGCCGCTGATGGAAACCATTCAAGTCAAATGGCAACATAAAGCATCATACTGTATATGGGCAAACCATCAACAGATTAGTAACTTCTTGGGAGTTGCAACCATGAAGCAAATGTTGCCCAGAAGCTGATAGCATCGGCGATCGCCCGAGCAAATGAGCCCACGATTGTGTAGGGACGTACCGCTGCCTTGTAGATGTCGTTCATGTTGGAGGCTGGTCTGCTGCCTGTCTTGGCGGTGTCCTGCAGCCAGAAAGGAAGGGGGTACTGTCCAGCTCAGGGCAGGACGCTGGCCTCATCATGGCAAGGTTTTATAGCCGGAGCCCGCCGTTGTCTGGTCCCTCCCCAGCCGTGGGCAGCCTCCCCTCGCTGCGCGTCCACAAATGTGTGTCTGTGTCTGTGTGTCATACGGCCAATCCGTCACAATCACTGGGCTCAGATAAAAATGCAGCAACTCTTAGGGGGGGCATACTAGGGAATGGAATGACGAGAGGAGAGGGGAGTGTGGAGGGGCTTAATCTTTTGGGAGGGGGCTAAAGAGACACTCAACATTCCTCTAGGAGTGAACAAGGGACACAGCCAGCTCTGGAGAGCGGTGAGGGGGAAGAAGCTGAGAAGCGAGGCAAAGCAGACCACAAAGATCCGGAGAGAGACTCGGAAAAGTGGCAGCACCGTCAGAGGCAGGTGTGCACCCTGAAGGAACTTTCATTCGCAGTATAGGCTTTCACATTGCTGTATTGCAATTTTCATATAGTCACAAAATACTTGCTTTTCTGTCAGTGCTGATTTCCTGTTAATTCGGGTGAAACTTTGGAGCGTGTGACTGCAAATAATGATGTGTTGCTGAGTGTAAATGAGAGACTGTGCTGAGTGTGGTTGAGGAACGGGGGGGGGGGTGCAGGCAAGGTGTCAGGAGCAAGGGGGAGGAGGCCTTATTTTGTCCATACCGGACCCCTGGACTGGAGGTCACTATCAGCACTTCAAAAGGACTCCCACAGCAGGATGACCGCTTCCAGACAACAAAAGGCGGCCAAAAGCGGGAAGAGCATATCCACATCAAACTGAGACTCACAATAGAAAGCCAATTCGTACCTAATCCGACGGACGCAGTTGATCACACCGAGATTGTCCTCACAGACCATTTGCCCATACCTGGAGACAATAACGGAAAACACACACACACACGCATGCACGCACGCATGCACGTACACACAACACACAAAGATAGGCACACTCTCTTTGGAGAATTTTTTAAAGGTGGGTCCAGGGAAAAGCGTCTTCGCCACTCTGCCTCGCTACCGTCCCGGAACAATTCCTGACCCAGAGCTCTGTCTATATTATGGTAATTGGCTTGATGTATGCTGTATTAGACTATGTGTTAGGGATTAAATACTTTTCTGTGTCACTGACGCCATACATGTGTGCATGTGGTAATTCGTGAGCCCATCAACGAGCACCCCAGAACTCCACCAACATATTTGATTTATTGATCAATTGGTTATGGAAATACAGTAGTGTGGGAATTCCACTTACAACCCAGTTAGTGTGGTTATGGAGAAAAAAAAAATACATGCATGGAGGAGCGTGTGCCATGTGGTCCGCAGCACACTGTAAAATGAAGCAGTACATCTTCGTAAAAAAGAAATACGTGAACATATCTGGAACAAGCCTGGAAAACCGTGACAATCGTTCATTCCAAAAAAATGCGCCGAACTCAAAGGTCATTTTTTGTAGGAGTAAATCATCTCGTCTCCCTCCTCCAACACCTGCACTTCATTCAAATGATCAGCAGAATGTCACAATGTCATTCAGGACAGAAGAAGAATGGCATTGCTACAAAATTCAAGTCCTCAGGCGAAAAGGACACCCGAATGGGCCGCCGGCCAATCACAGGGCAAACACACCGTCGAGACAGACAAACATTCACTCTCACATTCACACTGTCAGTGAGTGGGAAGTTAACCCACGCTGCCTCGCACAGAAGTCAAGCAACTGGTTTCAAGCATTGAAAAGCGTTTGGACACTTACTCTTGACAGAAGAAAATGAAGCCCCTGAAGGTTTTGAGACAAGACGAGGGCGCTTACTTTGTGCTCTGACATTTGACATTACAATCTGTAAGCTCGTCCTGGTAAATAACATCCTCAGAAAATGAAAGATTGTTTTTGTTTTTTTTTAATGCTGCTGAAGAAGTTTACTGTTGATCTTCACAGTGAAAAAGACGTGATGACCTTAGTCAGCATTCTTCATGCAGTTGCTCCCACGCGGTTTTATTTTCATTCTGATCCATCACTCTATTTTGTACAGCGCTTGATTTCTTGGTAAAGGGGAGCCTCCGGGCACGAACGCTTAGGGTGGAAAACGGTTTCCAAGTGTCCACTTCACAGCAGTGATCTGTCATTGGCAAGGTCAACTTCACATCATCTGCACAAAGAGGTCTGCTTGCAGTTTCGTATAAACGGACTTTGTGTGCTTCGATCTTGTGCACGGACTCTAGCCAGTCGATTTCTGCTTCCGCAATGTCAAAAACTGGCGCGCACCTCTCCTGCGACGCAATTAAAAGGAATCAGTGGAGGCACTTTCATTGGCCTGGAAATAAGTCGGCTGTTTTCACTCTCACAACGGTGCAAATGCCCCCCGTTCAGATGCGCCTGTCTATGAGAAAAACCCCAGAAATGTGTAAAGTTTGACTGCACTTTGTGCTAAACTTGCGCTGGGCACAAAATAAGGCCCCTTTTGTTTTGCTCACAAAACGCAGTTGTGTGAAACAGGATCACAGCATTTCAATTTCCTTAAAATGTCCCAAAATAATTCAAAATGGATCGATACAGAAGAGCAGAATCCTCGAGCCTGAGCTATATTGTCTAAAGATGCCCCACAACCCTAATCAGGATTAAAAAAGAAACCAAGCAAAACTAGTTTGATGGAAGGATGCATGGAGACAAAATTCAGTGATGACGGTTTCTTACTTACGCACGCGTAATTGATGCCAGGAAAGCACGATTCATTTTATTTCCTGTCATGCAGTGGTGCAAACTCTTCTCTGCATCAAAACTAAAAATATTTTTCCTGCAGATGTGGCTGTTTGTGTGGATAATCCACCAACAGCTTTTCCCTGGAACCTGACAGAATTTGACAGCGCTGATGGGGATTATACGGAAGAAGGCAAGACATGAAAGCCACAAAGGGGACTGTTATTTATTTATTTTTTTCCCTTCGAAATTCCACCGGCGCTTATTGCATTTGAAGCGATGGCACAGATGGACACATTTGAGTGAATTCGTGTTTTAAAATCGATTCCCAGAAAGCCAATGCAAGCATGCGCCTTCACATCTATTCATGGGCTTCCTTCATTCATCACCACGGACTGATCACCTGCCAATCAGTGACTGGCCTGGCATTGACACTCACATTCATAACAACAGCCAATTTCTTGTGTTTGAACAAAATCAATCAAGGTTTTATGCAGGTTAGTTTTATGTTAATGAAGCGTTTTCCCCAAAAGATTTATGTTATACTTTATGAATTTGAGTCCTTTTATGCAAAGTCAAGTATTTAGACAAAAGGAGTGAGTGCCTAAGGTGTGCAGTGGGAAATTATCAAATTTCACTAAATTTTTTATTCCATACAAATAAGTCTATGTCAAGTGACAGATTTTTTTTACTCCGATTGAAAAAAAAACCATGGAAAATGAGAGGGGGAATCTTTTTTTTAATCCCAGAAAACCAGGGAAAATCCAAAATGTGAAAAAATTTTGAAAAACAAAAAAATAACTGAATATGCAAATCCACAGGTGCCAAACTGTGATTATGGAGACGTTTATGTTGTAATATCACCACTCACCACTCAATGGCAGACATGCTCTAGTTGTACTCATTGTATATTGGGTCTTCTACTGCCCTGTACTACTGTACAACATGAAAAAGGCAATTTTTTTGGGGGGGGGGCGTTGAATCATATGCAGGACAAACATAGTACTGTATTTCAATAGTATCAAAATGTGGAGTATGTTGATTTTTGTGAAAAATGTACAAAATATGTTCTTGCAGTTAATGTTGGTTTCTTCAGCATTTTAGTTTCATCTTCGGATGTAAATTTTTATCAAGGGGGGGATTACAGTGTGTGGTTGTTTTGTTGTGGTTTTTTTTCTTTTTTCAAACCCTTTGTTGTTGGCTTATACTGTAGTAGCGAAAAATGGATCATCAAAAATGAAATACATTAAAATAGCATTTTTGTCAACCATCTGGTTGGTCCGATGTGGCCCCTGGGTAGCACTGATGAAAAATTGTGACCCCCGTCCAGCATTCAAGGTTCCCATCCCTGTTTTAGATGGCATCAATTGACATGCCCATCCAATTTTTGTGAGATTTTTGTTTGCTGGTGTGCCGGGAGATTCCACTCAGCAGATGGCGGTGTTCACTTCATGTCCCCTCAACGTGATATTTGCGCAAGACTGCCTCCGGAAATCCAATTTACCAACAGTGGGGTAGGTGAGAAATCTGGGTCAAACAAACCAACCAAAGCGCTTGCAGAAACATTGAAATTGAATAGTAGACAGCGCAAAACATTGCTCTCTTATCATGCTCCTTTGAAACGAGGCCACCTCTCTCTCTCTCTCTCTCTCTCCCTCTCTCTCTCTCTCTCTCTCTCTCTCTCTCTCTCTCTCTCTCTTTCTCTCTAACACACACACACACACACACACACACACACACACACACACACACACACGTACACAGCATGCTGCAGCAGGCTTTCAAAGTGACGAGCGATCATGCTGGTTTATAATGGGATGCTAATGGGGACTGGCAAGGCTTACAAGCATCGTGCTGCCACTCAGAGAGCTCACACTGAACATGTACGCGCACGCGCACGCACACGCGCGCACGCACACACACACACACACACACACACACACACACACACACACACACACACACACACACACACACACACACACACAGTGCCTTGACAAAGACCTCACATGGCTGCCACGCAGGTAGTGGCACAGGTTAGCGAGGAGGAGGGTAGGGGCTGCAAGTTAAACATGGTTTGTGATGCTCTTGTCCTTGCATCTCTCTTAGCCACTGGCCATAATAAAAAGTGCACATCTTGTGTGTCTCTGTTGAAGAGCACCAAAAATGAATTGACATCATGGGTCCATCGTTTGCAGTCAGAAAGCTGAGTGCGGAGGCTTCCAGGAGTGACGAGC